CAACATCATTTGCATGCATCATTGCACTCGAATTTCCAATCACTAGGGTAAATATAAGGATTCAATTTTGATCGCGTTCGTCTGGGGTATTTATTACACACGGGCGGTACATGGGCTAGCGCCGGCACTGGCCCTAGACGTACTCTTTCGCAGGGAACTCTACTGCTAATGAACTTTGGTGGGTATGTTCCACAAATTCCCACTAAAAATCCCCACTGATGGGGATTCTAAAGTTTGATTTAATTTTTACCATGTCATCGATCCAGCGCGCGTTTTCTTTTAAAAGTGTAAAAGCTTCGATATTTTGCCAGTGCCTTCGTAGCAAGTACTATGCAAGCAGGGATTTGTTCATACCAAATGCTGTGGTCGTGTAATACATTATTATTATTATTTTATAAAACGCGTTAAGAGCTGTATTACTTTCAATGGTTGATTCTGATTACCATATCGGGCTGTGATATAATAAATAATTGCGAGCTAAAAAATATAGTACGTCATCGATGATTACATTTGCTTTCTTGTTGCTCGAGTTTCATATGACACAGATTTCACATTACGTACCTGGGTATAGAGCGGTGCGTAACCCATTGGTAGAGCTGTTGCTTTTAAACTAAGAGGTCGACGATGATTCGAAACCCAGAAATTGACTTTAGATAGATAGATTTTTTTTAGAAATAAATATTAGACATCACATATCTTGTTCTGATGCCAAAGTAAGTAGCTAAATCACTTGTGTTATGGAAATTGGAAACAAAGCCGGTGCTACACTTATACACTGTATTATTCACACACAAGAACAAAAACGGTGCATAAACAACTTAGAACTAATGTGGGCAAGATCTCTTCCAGACAACCTCTGAGGCAGAGGAAAACTCAACAAAGCGGGAGACGTAGTGTACCATAAACTGTAGAGAGACATGAAATGCGAGATACTGCTATTCTAGCGTTGTGATCCCGCGCTTTATGTCGTGCTAGCCTAGCTACTGAAGATATTAAATGCTAAATTCAGTTTTAAAAATAGGAAGCGACTTAGAATACCAGATTTCAGGTTGGAGTTTGTTCCATAATAATAATAATAGTTAGTCTATATAATATACGTAGCAACACATACCTTAATGACCTTAAAAAGATTCCGTCCAAATTAACCACGTCATAACAGTCTATCTACGTGATAGGAGCACTAGCATACAATAAATACCGTATGATATCAAAGATGCACCTTCACCGTTTAGCTTTAAGATTAAGATAAACAAGCGGCTAATACGAAAACAATTCTATGATCTTAAAGAATTCCTTATTTCTTACAATCAAATGTGACAATGGTGACAATGTAATTTCTATTGTATCATGATTTATCTTTGATTATTTGTTATTGTATCCATTTTATTTTATTTTTTTATGATATGTAATATAATGTTAATGTGACTTATAATGTTGCAAATGGAATGCTACGTACTGTTTATTTTATAATTAATCGTGTATGATATAAACACTGACTTGAAATGTAATATTACTGTAATGCCCGTTTTACAAATGTTGAACGGTATAGATAACTGACTTGTAACGTACAACATCGTTACCAATAAATAATTTAATTTCATTTTATGTAGTCTCACTGATAGGCACAGGTCTACCTTCACAATACGAGGGCTTAGGGTGCAGCTTAACTTGCAGCCGAGATCGACTGCATGCAGTTAATCTGTTAGCAACCTTAGGTTGTAGCTTCGAGTATATAACCAGAAATAGAGACGAAGAAGGGCCACCTGTCTCTGGTAATTCATCAGGCAAATGGGCCTTATATCACTGATAAATATCAACTCAGGTTTGCACTGAAATCACAAATTAGAAAGCTGAAATAGTACAGCGCCAACAACTGACCTGTGTGTACGTCTCCGTATATTCCAAAAATATTCTATATTTATTGTAATAAAGACAATATCTCTAACAGTCGGGGGCTGTTCTATTCGGTGGTGAGGGAAAAACAGCAAAACATCTAATTACAAAACAAACGGAATCACACTTCATCGGTAATTAATTATGAAATAAGTAATTTTTCAATTTTCGTCCATTACACCAAAGCTCAAGTTAAACTGGTCGATTTGAAGTGAAACAATTGATGATACCCCCCATTGCTTCGAATTCGGGCTGGCCAATCGGAGCGCAGTTGTCACCGTAATGATTTGGCAGAAAAGTTTTCAAACAAATTAAATGACATTTTGTCTCTATTTTTGGTTATATACTCGATGGGCTGTAGTTCCCACGCGGGTCCAATGCGGATGAGGAACTTCACACACATCATTGATAATTGCTTTGTAGATCTATGCAGGGTGCAGGTTTCCTCACGATGTTTTCCATCACCGAAAATCCCATGGTAAATTTAAATCTAAAATCCATAATTGTACCGCCTTAGTGTGCGTTCCCACGGCCCGTGATGTCAAACGCACCGATTTGTAAAACGTGCGCTAAATTATTATTTTTAAAATGACCATAGACAACATAACATTTGAAAAGAAAAAGTTCTTTTTTATTTAAAGTGTCATAAACGCTCATGAGTTTTTGGCTAACCTATACCAGCGATGAAGCAACAACAATGCTATATAATATAAATAAACAATAAATAGATGATCAACTATTGAAGTTTCTTTATTGAAAAATAAAGTTGGTAATATAAACAAGTAATAAGCAATTGTATAAACACTAGTTCTTTATACCGTGTCACTTAGATTTTGAAGAACAAAAGAGTTTTCATCACCTTATTATTGTGTGAAAGATTGGTGTAACGAGTTTGACAAAAAGCATTTTGGCCTAGAGAATGTCTCCCCGAGAACGATTTTTTAAGCTTTCACGAGAATCTAGTTTAGAACAACAGTGGAGAAAGAGATGATTACCATAATAGGTCTAGGAGTCATATTATATAACGTGACCATGCGTCCAGCTTTAAGAGGGACAGTCCCGCTTTTAGGGTTCGTGTCCCGCTGTCCCCAATTGTTTTAAATGGTACGAGAACGGAAAATGTATAAAGCCAGCCAACCAGACATGGAAAACCTAGATTAGTTCTAGAAAGACTAGATTAGTTCTTTTTTCAAATTACTGATTAATTTAACAATTTTAGTTCTTTTTATTTATTTTTTTATTAAACATTTCGTAAGAGCGCGTTCCCATTAAGTCGTGACGACAGATAGTCGTGCAGTTTAAAGTGTCGTGACTTGTATATTTAAATGAAGCTGTTCACACACAGTACAACACGATTAACTAATAGTTCAAGACTTTTTTGACGTTACGACGACAGGCTGTCGTAACAATGGGAAGAGTTAGAATGACAGTCGTCTGACGATAAATAAAACGTCACGATAAAAATGTGACGACAGATAAACGCAGCTTCAATTTTAGCGTGCAAACGACAAATTGTCGTCACGACCTAGTGGGAACAGCTAGACACGACTGTCGTTCAACGATAAGATGAACGTCCACGACACAATCACGGTAGAAAGTCGTGATATGGGTACAGGATAGACGCGACAGTCGTCCAACGATAAATAAAACGTCACTACATAATGAGAACGTGCACTTACTCTCATAAACATGTATTTTATTTTAAATCTTTATTGAATCGATATTCAATTATTTTTATGTGAAATTACTCCACTAGTTTGTTATAATTATTAATACAAAGATCACAACGAACACGAACACTCAGAAAAAATTCCATCGATCCGGCCGGATTCGAACCGACGTCTTCTAGCATATCGCGCCAGACGCTATACCAACTAAGCCACGGAACGAACATGCGGACCTCACGAATTTTTCTATGTGCTTGTTGTCGCTTTTAGTCGCAGCGCCATCAATGAGAAATCTATGAAATTATTTATTAATGTATTTTATTGTTAAAACAATAATAAATTTACGGACGTCCTATTTCACACCCTCAACAATAAAGTGACCAAATTAGAAAAGTAATTTTTGAGAAGCTGACTGAAATTAACTAACCATCCTTCTTTAGTAATCTAAAGAAGGAAGGTTAGTTGCGTGTAAAACAAACTCTATTTACGGGCACAGAAGAGTGGATATTTTAGGAAGTCGTTCTCCCCACCCTTCACTCTGGAGCAGCGCTGCTTTGCGGTAGACATAATATAAAAGGTGGTGCTACTTATCAGACGCCATATCTTTCAGCCATTTTACAACCAAATCCATTCAATACAAAGTTCTCGCAACTCTTTTACGACCATAACGCCGTTATTGCGTTATTTTTGTTACTCGAAATATTTAATACTTTTTAAAATTTAAATGTAAATCTATCTTTACATAAAGGATTAAATAAAAATTGCACTTTAACAAACTTGAAGAAGTAGAGGTTCCAAAGAAAATTGATTTTATAATACGATCGCACGGTAAAAAAAATACCGACACTAAACGAAACTGTCAGAAACTTTTATGGCCGTTGTGAACATGTGACATATTAACGTGTTATTTTTAAATATCATTTATCACCGATTGTCTAGATGTTTTCCTTTACCGTAATTTGTTGTCTGAAAAGAAAGGTTCATGATCCCTGCGTTTTTGTTTACGTTTTGTCTAAATAAATAAAAGCGAAATACATGCAAATTCTGCGTAGGCGGGCAACAATATCACCCCTACTAGTATTGTAATAATATGTCAGACAACCACATCATACATACTATAAATACCAGAACACCGGAATTTACTCCGGAACATCCAGGCCAGAAATTTAGAAAACTCATTACCCGAATTGGACCTACCGAGCCACCAAGGTCATCAATTATTAGTTTAAGAATTAACACTCACTTTACACTGTCACGGAACGGAATGGAAGCCAGTTTTTGTAACGAAATTGTACATAGCACAATGAACTTTATATCAATTGTGTAACGTACAAACTAGATACGATACGGTAGATGCGAGAATTCTCCGAAAGCAGCGCGATTTGCTTCCATTCCGTTACGCAGTAATGTAAATAGAGCCTAAGCGTTACCACGTCTTACCTTGAATCATCGTAAGGATAACTGGCAACCAATGCACCGCCATGCAGGTTCCCAGAAAGTACGAATGGCTTCTCCAAAATCCACTTGATCATAGCTCGAGTTTCCGGCTGACGATTGCCGAATATATAAGAATCATTGGTAGAATGGTTCTTGTCGAATTGGTCGGGAAAGTCTCGGTTCAAATCTACGCCCTTTGCGTTGCTGCGTCCCTGGTACTTTGGGAGAGATTCGCACTCACCTTCCTGTAAAAAAGACGAAGAGTTTTAGACTGGAAATCATCACCAACCCATACTAAGTCAGGGGGAGGTATTATCTGCTTTACACGTATTACCATGGACAAGTAATTCAAAATCGCGATACAAAACAGAGTGGTCGGGTATTTAGTACCTCTTGGTATACCAAATGTCGCGACGAGAACCAAATAGCTATTTTTGTAACCAATTTGTTTTACATTGACAAGCTGCAATTTATCGAAGCTACTCTAATTTCTAGTGATAACAAATAAATCAACTAGATGACGCTCGTTGCACAGATTTTTATGGATAATGCCGGCTATTCTTTTATTTTGCTTAGGATTAGCGCCAATTTATAAAATCAATTTCTTTATGTTACACATGCTTGTCAAAGCTCAGAAAATAATTTTAGCTCATGATCCGGTAGGACCGGTAGGCACGTAGTGGCAAGAGACACTTAATCGAGCCCAATCTGATCGAAGGAGTTTTCTTTGTGTTTGTTCGATTTTTCTATCAATAGTTAACAAACAAACGATCAATGTCATGGTACACATCATGATATTCAATAAAAACAAATAGTCTAATGACTTACGGTTATTCTGATACCATGGTCACGAGAAACACACGTACAAACCGTAGAAATGATTATAATATTAGTAAATATTTACAACAATGTTCATTGTGAGATATGCTCTTTGAAAATTAATACTTGTTCACATTTTTAATTTACAATATTTATTTTACAATGTCATAGGTCGATTTCACACAGAAGGCGTATAACTCCCTACGCATTATGTATAATAATGTGTTCAGGGCTCTGTTTGGGCTTCCTCGATATTGCAGTGCATCAGGCATGTTTGCAGACGCCAGTGTAGAGGATTTGCGTGAAAAGGCGTGAAATCCTGCCTGCGCAGAGTGCGAGAGAGCCCAAACAGAGTTCTTAAAATGATAGGGGATAGGTGGGACCGATCTGCTTGCTAGGTTCACCGAACTTCACGTCCTGGGAGCTCGATGAACTTAGCAAGTATCACGTATCATGTAATTTAAATATCACATTATATTACATTTTATTTTGTAATTTTTGTACTAACAGTAGAACAGATAGCTTGTAAGTGTACTCACAAAATGGACTGTATATTGTATGCAATAAATGATATTTTTTATTATTTTATAGGTACAAACCAGGCTTGTCGGTGATGCAGGTATTTACACATAAGCGAATGCTGATTTTTGATCTTAACATCAGTAAACGCTCATAGGTATTTATGACCAGGTATTTAAAAAAAACGCGGAAAATTAACATCCTTACTAAATCTATCTACATGATAAAGTAAAATACTATCTATTTTCTTTGGTGATAAAATGAATTCTTCAATGATATTATGAAATGTGTTAAGAAAATAATCAATGTTCATGAAAACAATTAATGTGCTTTTATCAAAGTTATATGTTAAAAACAACAGTTGAGCTGCTTTTTCGGTTGCAGTCTGTTTCTGGAAAGTTTATAAATTATTCCAGCGTGCCTGTCTGGTCATGTCACGACTCGAACATCCGCAATAAATATCAGTATCGACGAATGCCGATGCTTATATTCGCAACAACCCTTGTACAACGTGAGAGGGATAATTATTGTCATAGTTTCGTATTAAGTTTCTGTCGCACAATACTTTTACATCGCGTAAATAACTTAAAGTTGATACGTATAATCTGATATGATGAATATAAATCGGAATCTTATTATAAAAGCGTGTTTGAAACGGATTTGTGCCTTTGTGAAGATGGTGATTTGGTGGACATGGATGGAAATGGACTTGGACTGTAGTCCATTTCACATAGGTTGGGTACTGCGATATTTCAAATCTTTACGCTGCATGCATACTATTTTTAACCAATCTCTCAACCATGTTACAAAAGGAATTAGTAAATTTGTTACAATAGACCAATAACAATCAATATTTGTTGCAGTTGAAATTTTAAGTAAAAATTACAGTATTTTAAGTAGATACAAAATGAAATGATAAAGATAAACATAAAATACCCCAACTATTTGATGCGTACAGTCAAGAGGACATCAAGCTTGACACTTTGTACTTTGCACCTTTCTTATCGTGAGCGGCATAGAGTTGGATTTAAGTCTTAAGTGTAAAGCTTGACGTGCTCTTGACCCTGTACAACGGAATATTTGTCCATGGAGATTTACACCACAGAATCGATAAATCGGAACAGCTATAGGATATCTCGCGTCAATAAGAGTGCATACACATCGTACGCGTGTGGAGTACTTTTGTTTGTGTCGAATTCTTTTGTTTTAAGTTTTGTAATGGTTTTGGAGTACTTAATTATTGAAATTTCGTTTTGTTGCGGTTGATTTTATGCTTTGTCAGCAGACTAGTCGTTGTTGATTTGTTTCTTTGTCGTGTAGTTTTCGTTAACTTAACAACATGATAAATGAATACTATTATTTTGTTTATTATTGTTTTGAAATGATTGTCTCTAAATCTATTCTCTCTTCATTACTAATTATCTCGGTGTGATATTTAAATCGATTTTTTTGTTCGACATCTTTAGAAACTTCAAATCCCAAACGTCAACGTACGTATGCTGTATGAAATTAATAATCGCAAAATCCATTCAAAAACCATCAATTCTCGTCCAATAACCGCTATATTGTTTTAATAACCGGCAATTTGTCCCATCATCGCACTGAGTCTTCCAACCCTGACGTTGGCAGAACCGTGGGGCAATACGACGGAGCCATATCCACATAAAACTTGACTTGACTTGTGGCTATCAGCGTAAAAGTGACGTAACCCACAATTTTATTTTTCTTAATATTACTTTAAATGATACCAAAGTACAAAAAAATCAACGATTAAATATAGTTTATACAAGAAGATAGCATCCAAATATATAATTATTATGTACAGTCAACAGCACATAAAGCTATACGCTTTTGTTTGAATATCGCCAACAGTGCAACGGAATAACACTCGTCAATTTGTAGCTTCATGTGCTGTCGTATAGCTTGTAATATAGCTTTGATTGGTCTTATTTAATATTATATCTATTGACGACCTCTCTGGCCATGGGTGTTGGATTTTAATTTAATAACACCAAATGGCAGGACGAACAAGTTGTGCGCCTGGTGGTAAGCGACACGCCTGTCCATAACTATAAATCCTAAAACCTTTAAATCGCAAGGGTCTTAGAGGCACTATCACTGCACCCGTCACCCTCAGACATAAGTTGGCAAGTCCAATGTGCCTGTAATTTCACCAGCGCCCTTACCCTTCAAAACCGGAACGCAGTAATGCTCACATTACTGCTTGGCGGCAGAAATAGGTAAGATGGCAGTACGAACTCTTTCACAAGGAGCGCTATTGCTACTAAATGAAGAAGTCCCGGGTTCGATTTCCGACAGGACCACAATGAGAAAATTAACTTATTTAATAGGAAATGAAACTATTTTTCCGGATTTAAATCGCGTATATTTGTTTTTTCAAACAAACCGACGTTTCGGGCCCTTCACAGGTCCCATGGTCACGGTTGACTGAGGTGGTACAGTCTTCAACCAGTTATGTCTAATATTAATGCAAACCACCCTATTTTTTTCACTATAATTACAATAGTTATTAATTAAATACCTTATTTTTAATTTTACAAAGAAAACATTTCAATTTACGCTACATTAAGTTTTACAAATTATTTTATTGAATGAATTTTTATTAAGTTTAATTTATTATTAATTATTAATAGAAATTAGAATAAACTAAAACATATTAATTAGTATTGCAGTCTTATGTCTGTTTGGGATTTTTCATTAGAGGAAATACTGGATCCCAAACTGGTGGTACGGAGAATCCATCTTCCCTGTTGAAATTAGGATGTTTTTTAATTTCAATGGCCTCTCGCAGCATCCTGGGTAGATAACGGACTTATTTTGCAAGGACCTGGGGTTTGTCAAACTTCATTGAATGTGTAGGTTTATCCATGACATACTCGCAGACTGCAGACTTGTTTACGCGACGGTTTTAAATCCAGAATTTAAATCCGGAAAAATAGTTTCAATTCCTATGTGTAACAATCGCGAAAACCTAAGAACTCGATAACTTATTTAAATTACTTCTGGACTGAGTCTTCTGGGTGTCCCGGAGTAATACCATTGCTCTGGTATTCACAGTACTGGTAGTTCCCTTGAGAGCAAGTAATTAGTGTGATCGTCAGGCATATTAGTAGATTTACTAACTAGTCTTTTTTCAGCCGACTTAAGGCGAACTTATCATGATCAAATTGAGAACGTCCTAAAGAAAGGCCAGGTCAAGAGTATCCTTAACCGACGAGCATGTATGAAAGCATTGATGCTTATTGATGAGGCGAAAAAAGAGTCTACCTATACCATCGAGTATAAAAACCAGAAATGGAGACGAAATGTCATTTAATTTGTTTGAAAACTATTCTGTCAAATAATTGCTGTAACAACTGTGCTCTGATTCATCATCATCATCATTCAGCCATACGACGTCCACTGCTGGGCATAGGCCTCCCCCAACGATCTCCACGACGATCGGTCCTGCGCTGCCCGCATCCATCGGCTTCCCGCAACCCAGATCTTCGGTCCACCTGGTGGGGGGCCTACCCACTGAGCGTCGTCCGGTGCGCGGTCGCCATTGGAGAACCTTTCCGCCCCAACGGCCATCGGTTCTCCTAGCTATGTGCCCCGCCCACTGCCACTTCAGCTGAGCAATTCTTCGAGCTATGTCGGTTACTTTAGTTCTCCTACGGATTTCCTTATTTCGATTCTATCACGTAGGGAAATATCGAGCACCACTCTCTCCATTGCCCGCTGAGTGACCTTGAGCCATCTTATGAGGCCCATAGTGAGGAACCACGTTTCTGAACCATATGTGATCACAGGCAACACACACTGGTCAAAGACTTTCGTCTTGAGACATTGAGGTAATTTGGACGCAAAGATTTTTTGGAGTTTCCCGAACGCTGCCCATCCGAGC